ATTTATTTATTTATTTATTTGTTTGTTTGTTTGTTTGTTTGTTTGTTTGTTTGTTTGTTTGTTTGATTTATATCTCGCTCATCTGGTATATCATACCACTCTGGGCGGCTAACAGCAAAGATATACAATTAAAATAAAAATCCATAAACATAATAAATGATAGATAGAAAAAAGAAGAAAGTTAAGTCAAATTAAATGCTGGTAGGAGGGAAGGCCTGGGTGTAGAGCCATGTTTTTAATTGTGTTTTAAATGTACCCAGCGTAGGGGCCGCACGAATCACAGGAGGGAGATTGTTCCAAAGGCGAGGAGCCACCGCTGCGAAGGCCCGGTTTCGCGTCTTTTCCCTTGCACAAAACGTTCCTTTAATATCTTCAATTTTCTTGAACACATCTCTAGTTTTTCCCTTTCTATTATTTTCCTCTATATCTTTGCACTGTTCATTTAAGAAGGCCCTCTTGTCTCTCCTTGCTATCCACAGAGTACATACAATGATATATTACAAGATGAGAGCAAACTAGTACAATGCCACAGGCTTAAATAAAATTAACAAGGTATCATTGCTGAAGAAAGAGTGTACCTATATGAAAAATACACCGTGCATTTTGTGTCTCAGATCTCATAGTGTGTAGGATGCTTATACTCAGAATTGATTATTTGTAAAGCAAGAGAGGCATGCACTATAGCACTGGGATATTTTCTATAATTTTAACAAGGTATCATTGCTGAAGGAAGAGAGTACCTATATGACAAATACACCATGCATTTTGTGTCTCAGATCTCATATAGTGTATGATGCTTATACTCAGAATTGATTATTTGTAAAGCAAGAGAGGCATGCACTATAGCACTGGGATATTTTCTATAATTTTAGAAAGGAGGATTAGATATCTGTGCAAGTGTATATTATTAATATATTCAGGCTGAGGTTAATGTGAAGTAAAATTTTAATTATCAGGTAGTAAGGCTGCCTTCACAGAAATTGAATCACTGGTGGTTTTAGAATAGGGATTTCTCTTCGCTGCAGCTAGATATCTCCCACATCTGGAGTGAAAATCAAGTTATCCCTCTAATGCTTGGAGGCTAATACCTCCATAAATGTTTTCACCAAGCTCGCTCTGAAGTATCAAACTACCTGCTACATTACTTTTATAAAACTTGGTAACAGTTTTCCCCTAATGCTAGCACAACTGAACAATCAGCTGTCATAAATCAAAATACAGGGCTAAACATATGGTCTGGAGACAACAACTGCTGTCCCAGGTCCACTGTACTGTAGATAGAGATGCCCACTTCTATTCTGGATCCTATGTGATTTTTTTTCCCCACACATCATCATGAAAGGAATATGTCAATTTCTCTTGCTCTGTTTGTTGACAGAATTACATTAGCTATAGGATGGTGAACCTCTCATGTGAAAGAAGAAAGTAAGGGACATCAGTACTCATTACATAGGACAACAGATGAACAGGTGGAACCGGGGTGTTTCACCCCAGCAGCAGAAGGTACATACTCCGCTCTAATCAGGAACCACTTATGACTAAAGTATAGCGCTACTTATGCATAGATAGATGGTGGTTGTCTGTGCATAAAGGAGGCAATTCTTAAGAAAATTGTCCCACACATATTATGGAAATATTCAACGAGTGTGGTACGGCTAGTGTACTGCCCCTCCTCACATGTTTACTCCATCTTAAATTCATACCCACATAAGGCTTGGCAGAAAGGGGGGAAATGCACTTACCCGCGGCAAGATTTCAGTGAGACAAGTGGCAGCTGTTTCTCCGATTTGTGACAACTTTCCAGCCTACAAAAGGCATGCAAACACAAACTGTGTAGGCATGAAACCAAAACAAGACTGATGCTTGCTACCCAAACAAAAATAAAAATCCACATACAAACAGCTTATATTTCACATTTGCAAACATATTCCAGCTCTGTATCAAAGGGCTTTTCTGAAAGGCAGAGATGCAACACCTCATTCCTCCCCTTACAGCCATCTAGATTCCCTCCCATCATTCATTCATTCATTCATTCATTCATTCATTTGATTTGATTTCATTTATATCCCGCCCATCTGGTCTATTTACCCCTCACATGCCCCACCAGAGCGCTCTCCAGAGAACCTACGAACTCAAACCCCGAATTCACTTCCTGCACTAGGGCTCCTGAAGGGAGAGGCTTCTGAGCATGGGCAGAATGCCTTCAGCAGCTCTCTATCCTTCCCCCCCCCCCCCCGCCCCGTCCAGTTTCTCTAACGTTTGTTTGGTTGGAGCTTTCTCGGCCCTGTCAGCTCAGGAGGTCTGACCTCGAACTTGCCCTATGCGGCTCCCACCTACCCACCCACCCCCGTGCTCAGTTATCGCCGTTCCGCAGAAGGAACGCGTGTCTAGTTTCTTCCCTGGAAGTCGTCGTGGGGAATCGAAAAGGCGTTTGAAACGCGAGGAGGGGGGGGGGAATGAGCGGCAACGCCACGTCTTTCCTGAGGGGCGGCCGACGGGAGGGAAAGGCAGGCAGGCAGGCAGGAGAGCTGGCACAACTCACCGCGGGGAGCTCGGGGAGCCGGTCGACAAACTTCCCCTGGTAGACTTGCCTGACGGCTCCGCGCAGTCCCTTGACAGGGATCCCCCCCACCATTTTGGCGGGAGGGACCCGCTCGGCCAGGAAAGCAGAAAGGTCGGGAAGGTGGCAGCGTCGGGAAGGAGAAGGTTGATCCGCGTCACCAAGCAACCGCGACGGAGCCGCAACCGACGCAGATTCCACACAAACCCGCCCGCCTTTTTTTCACGGCCGGGTCTCGAAAGGGCAGTCGTTGGAAACTGTCTTGTTCTGTTCACTTGCAAACTTCGCTTAATAAAGGACTTATTATTTCAATGGCTTCAATTCCCTTGCCGGAACTGCAGGCGAAGACGACGTACAATGTCGTTTGCCCCCGTCCCCCCTTCCCGCGCCTCCGTGTTTTATCTTCACAACAACGGTGATGTGAATTAGGCCTGAGAGTTGATGACTGGCTAGGGCCACCTACAGTACTAGTGAACTGCACGATGAAGTAGGGACTTAAAAAGGCATCTTTAAACCGGTATACCGTATTAGCTGTCATAAGAAACACTGATGATCCACCAAATCTTACTATTTAAAGTTTATATCATACGCTGTGAGCATAACTGGTTATAGATGGCCCTGTGGCACTTAAAATGTCAGGATGTGATCAAGGGACCAGAAAAATATCTCAGCTGTCAAATGTACTGGATGACCTTGGATGTCTCACCTTAAGTTGCCTACCTCTCAGGGCTGATATAAATGTACTCTGTATGGCGCTTTGACATTGTGGAAGGAAAAGCAGGATGAACATCTAAGGAATAAATAAAATGGTGAAGTGAATGCTGGAATATCTTCATTGTTATTTCACATGTTCAAAAGCTATCCTGTTTCAGGGCTAATGTGCTTTTAACCATTCTTGCTGTAAGAACAAGATAGTAGAAGTCCAGATGTCTTTGTGATTTCAATCCATGAAATTGGATTTTCAATCAGTGTCTGCTGCCAATAGTTTTAATGCAGGAGATGACTGTTTTTGATCACACCTTTGGACTGTGTTTTAGAGTATATGTAAACCCAGAGCAAAAAAGTGTGGTTTGGGCACCATCTTTAAACCATAGTAGGGCTTGGTGTCATGTGCAGTGACAGCAGTTGCTGTGGCCTCCACCTTGTTTTCCAGAGTGTGTAGTTACAGAATGGCAAAATCTGGTCACACTCCCAGCTACAAGAGTAAATAAAAATCAAGAGCTACTTACAGCTCTGGTTTTCAGTTACTTTTATAGTTAGGAATGTGTTAGGGGAGGGATATCACATGGATCAAATGGTGTCTCTACTCTGTTATAGCTTTTGAGGCAACAACAGGGTGATCAGGAGATGTTACATTCTGTAATCAGGCCAGTGTCTTGTAGCTGTAAGATATTGGTGGATAATTTACTGGGAATGTAACTGTTTTACAGTAAGGAGGGTTGATGGTTTGCTGTTGTTTTTTTGAGACATGGGGAAATTACTGTAATTTGCTATTGAAAATGGTAACTATAGTAATAACTTACTTTTGAGGGCTTGGAACTATGCCTTGTAAATATTTGCTATTTAAAGTTGCTCCCAAACTTTTCTTCTTCCTGTGTCAGTCTCTCTTGCGTTCTTGCACGTGGACTAACAGTGGATCAGTTTAGCAACTCTGGGAAGAAATGCTGTATAGGTCTTTTTATGATGTGAACAAGCTTTGTTCTGGATCAATCAATTCACAATAGTCACCTCCCTGGACTCAGACAATCATGAATTCTAGTTAATATGTGCCAGTGTACATATTAATGATCCATTTCAGTTTATTTATTTCATCCATTACAGCCTGCACAATGGATAGTCAATTACATGTAAGTTGCAATTTCACATATTTTGTTGTGGTACAGAGGCCAAAAGGAACATTTAACAAAATTGGCATAGCTTTGACCAAAGCAAAGGATCTACTCTCCAAGATACTGCTTTATCACTTTTAGTATAATGAAAATTTATGTTCTATTGATTTTGTAGTAGTCATACTATTTAAAAAGAAAATCATAGAACTGTGTCATTTATGGAAAGAGGAAAAAAGAAAGTCTAACAGTAAATGTAATAAGCAAGGAATTTGCTTCCTTAAATACAACACATTGAATTTCTATGGAACACTTCACTTGCATCTTATCTTCAGAAATGTTGGCAGTAGTCACCAATTGAATTATGAGTATAACAAAAACTCTCCTAAGAATGGATTAATTCATTTTGGTCAAATTATCTTGCAATTCATGTGATCATGCTGTTTCTCACAGCAATCTAGGTTTGATTAAACAATGTTGAATAATTGCATTTTTAAAAGAGATGTTAGGGTATGTTCAGGCATAGCTGATCTGCACTGAGCTTTGATTGTGCACCTTTACTACTCTAAGTAACATGAGAAAAATCATGTACATTATAGATGATTTTCAGGAGACTGTCATGTCTTCTGTGCTGCACAGTGGTGGACAGTGGGGTTTCATTTAACTAGAGCTTATCTTACAACCATCCTGAAAAATCATACTAGGGCTTATTTTCATGTTAGGTCTTATTTTCGGGGTAACAGGGTACATTCACATGAAGCTGTTGTCAATAGACCACATTAGATCTATCTACCTCCCTTGTTGCTTCTGGCATCATGTATATTTGGACAATCACTCTATGAAAAGGAGACCCTTATATATCCATGGAGGCTATCCATATGGACCACTTCTATCACTCTCCATTTCCCAAAGTTATCCCCATACATACAGATACATTGACAGAGATGCCGATGGAAGAGAGTAAGGTTTCACATGATCCTCCCATGCAATGCTGGTTTTAATCCATATTTTTATCAGTAGGAAGCACTGGCCATAATTATACATGGGTCAAATCAGGACTTTATTGTTACTGTTCTTTGATCGTGCACTTTTAAGAACTGTTTCCTGATTGCAGTACCCTCTATTTATTTATTTATTTATTTATTTGTGCACCTTTAAGAACTGTTTCCTGATTGTAGTACCCTCTATGCCAGTGGTCCCCAACCTTTTTGACACCACGGACCAATTTAGCATGTGTGCAGTGGTCCCCAACCTATGACACTACGGACCAATTTAGCATGTGTGCACTGTGTGTGCATGCATGAGGGAGTACGTCTGTTCATGGGGGTGTGCACATCTGTGCGTGCGTGCAGGGGGGGCTGCATGCTGAGGGCAGGAGATCTGTCTCTGTGGCCTGGTCCTGCCAAGGCCACAGACCAGGATCGGTTTGCAGCCCAGGGGTTGGGGACCCCTTATCTAAGCTTTCCATAAAAGTCATGGAAAACAGATCATATGAACTTCACTGTGTCTAAAGTGTGATTAGTTTTTTAAAATAAATATTTGGTTCTCAACAATGGGGCATATTCCTCTAGGGATCATGAAGAAATTTCAGTGGAGCACAAAACTGAATTTTCGAATCAAGAAAAACAATCACCTTTAAAAATTATTCAAGGATATGAATAGGCTGGAGCCAAATGAACTACAGTGGTGCCTCGCTTTATGATTGCGGCTGGAGCTAAATGAACTACAGTGGTGGCTCGCTTTATGATTGCCCCGTTTAATGACGAAACCGCATTACGATGAACTTTTTGTGATCACTTTTGCGATCGCAAAATGATGTTTCCTATGGGGGAATTTCGCTTTGCGATGATCGGTTCCCTGCTTCGGGAACCGATTCTTCGCAAAACGACGATTTTCCAACAGCTGATCGGTGGTTTAAATGAACTACAGTGGTGGCTCGCTTTATGATTGCCCCGTTTAATGACGAAACCGCATTACGATGAACTTTTTGTGATCACTTTTGCGATCGCAAAATGATGTTTCCTATGGGGGAATTTCGCTTTGCGATGATCGGTTCCCTGCTTCGGGAACCGATTCTTCGCAAAACGACGATTTTCCAACAGCTGATCGGTGGTTTTAAAATGGCCACCGGGTAAACAAAATGCCCCCCCCGCTGTTTTCTGGGACGGATTCCTTGCTGCACAGGCAGCAAAAATGGCCACCCTATGGAGGATCTTCGCTGGACGGTGAGTTTACAGCCCTTTGGAACACATTAAACAGGTTTTAATGCATTTCAATTGTTTTTTTCTTTTCGCATTACGTCTTCGTTCTACAGCGATTTCGCTGGAACGAATTAACGTCGTAATGTGAGGCACCACTGTAAAGCTAAATGTTATTGCTGCTGTTGTTATGTGCCTTCAAGTTAAAACTGACTTATAGTGACCCTAAGGGGGCTTTCAAGGTATGTGTGTTAGTCAAAGCATGGTTTTACCAGTTCCACATCACCAGTTTCCATGACTGAACAGGGATTCAAACCCAGGACCCAGAGTCCTAATCTACTACTCTATCCACTACACCACACTGGGTATCTTAAAATCTGATGTCTTGAATTTAAAATATTTTTACCAGGCTTGTGTTTATTTTTAAATTTAAAAATCTGAATGTAATCTATGGTAAAAGGTGGTTGGATGATGGTAGAAAAGAGATGGGGAGGCGTGGCATTTTGCAAAAATCAGAAAGTTTGGGGAACCCCATTCTAGACACAAACCAATGTAGTTTGATGGTTCCAGTTCTGTGCTGAAGCAGCGTTGGCGTGTAGCAAAAGCTAGGGAAATATTTTGCCCTCACTTCAGTGGTGTATCCATATGTAGTATTTTTCTCATAGGCGTAAGAGTATTGTTCACATGTAGAGAAAGCTGGCTAAAATAAGCAATGCATTCAAGGATATGAATGAGCTAAATAACTAAAGCTTAAAATGTTATTGCTGTTATTAAGTGCCATTAAGTCACTTCCAACTTCATTAGTAACCTCCAAAAGGCTTTATAGATAGTGCCAGTGTATCCATATGTAGTATTTTTCTCATAGGCGTAAGAGTATTGTTCACATGTAGAGAAAGCTGGCTAAAATAAGCAATGCATTCAAGGATATGAATGAGCTAAATAACTAAAGCTTAAAATGTTATTGCTGTTATTAAGTGCCATTAAGTCACTTCCAACTTCATTAGTAACCTCCAAAAGGCTTTATAGATAGTGCCAGAAAGACAAACTAACAAATTAGTGACCTCCAAAAGGCTTTATAGATAGTGCCAGAAAGACAAAAGCCTTCGTCCAACCCCATATTTCAATTTTTTTTCCTGTCAGTTTTCTTCAACACCAAGCATTTACGTCTGTACATAGTAATCAGGTGTATCATAGTACGGATGATCTTGGGCTCTCTGAATTAGATGGTAGAACCCAAAATTCAGAATTTTTAGATTGGCCTTGTATCTACAGTTTTTATTGTCTGAAATAGATGGCTTCATTTAGCAGAGTTGTCACAAAACAAGAAAAATAAACAGAAATAGATCAATGATTTATAGAACATTATAGAGCTTGGCAAAACAACAAAAAAATGTGGGACCTTAAAAAAATATTTTAATGTGAGCTTTCGTGACTCAAGTCCACTTCTTCAGACATAAGCTTGAGAACTTAAGGAGCTGTTTGGTGTTATGGTAGGTGAAATCAACGAGGTAATTTAAGTCCACCAAGGTGCTTCAGAAAATGACTTGAATAGGCAGGGCTTGAGAAATCCACTCGTCCACTCTTCTGTGACGAGTGAAAAAAATGCTGCTTGAGGAGCCACAGCTCCCTCCATCCCTCCCTTCTTGCCTCCTTACCCTCAGTCCATCTCTCTCTCTCTCTCTCTGATCCTGCAGTCGTCCCCTCCCCCTTGCAAA